AATGGCAAGTTACGCACGAGCGTGAAAGAAAACAACTCCTCGAGTTGAGTGGTCGTATTTCGCTACGTGCTTGTACTTGACGTTGGCAATAGTTGGAACGGATACGCACTTGGCAATCTTTAGCAATTAATTTCTCGTAAATTATTGCAAAAATTACAAGATGATATAGAACTTTCGATTCAGTTTAATTCACTCTACCTTCACATGAGCACTTTGTTAAAACTTACCGGACACCTTGTACATTATTTATATAAATATTTTAATATAAATATATAATTGAAAGTAAAATCCTTGTAATTCCTCGCGAATTTAAATTCTAAACATATATATGTAAAATTTTCAACTAAGAAGTGCCACTAAAAGTTAGATGTTGAAATAATAATTCTATATATAATTTAATTAAAATACATTTTACTTCAGCTGATTGTACATCAATTACTTAAACCAAGAACTTCCTTCTATACATATTAGTTATTACGACAAATATTATCACATGTTTCGGTGGTTGAATTGGATGAACGTCTGCATTGCAGAAAGTCCTCGGCGTAAGTAATCGGCGGTCAGTTAAAGTAAAATCTTTTCTCTGGGTAATCCAGGTTTGAATCCCGGCTGAGATAATACTTTTCGTAATAAGAATTCTTCAAATCGACGATCAAATTTAATTTGTGAGATTATTTCGGTTTGATTGTGTTGCAAATCCGAAAGTAATCGGTGCGCAGTCATGTGAAGTAAAATGTACTTAAAATAAATTTCATGTTAAATTATTACTATAATATCTAACTTTAACCGTAGTGGTGCTTCTTCTTAGTTGATTTATTCATATAGGAAGCTTTCCAACAAGCGACATTGTGTAACACAGTGATCATTTCATCTTTGTTTAACATTGGCAGAAAACAAGGATAAGATAAATGATTCACTGTCTTACACTGTCATCTGTGTCTCTTATTGAAAAGCTCCCATAGCCTTATTTCTAACTTATTGTAAAATTTTCAAATATAAAAAAATAACATACTAATTGTTCATTATGATCAGAACGAAGATCCCATAAATGTATGACTCCACTTTGATCGCCAACAATTAGTTCTGCTTGATTGGGATGTAAACACACACAATTTACAGGTGCGGATACTTGAAATATTCTTTGGCATTGAAAGCTGCTAGATCTATCATTAAATTTATATTACTGAAAATAGAATTCAAAATATAAACCATTCTTGTTTCTGTATAAAATTTACCTCAAATCCCATACTCTTGCAGAACAATCTTCTCCTCCTGTATACATCCATTTTCCTTCCTCCTATTTGTAAAAAATATTTCTTTTTGAAAAGTGAAAATGAGGAATAACTTTCAGTGGTCTTGACCTTGATAAGTTATTATCCGGTTGTTCTGTCTTCGTATAAACTATATGATAATTTATTTAATGGATAGACAAAAGAGTAAGAGCATAAAAAAATAAGAGAATTGGAGAATGAGCTGAAGTTTATCGAAAGGTGGAACAATCCAGAGAACATGCATGTCTGAAAGATATCCAAAAGACGTCTTGAATTAGATGTCTTTAAGACGTTTTTCAAATATTTTCCAAAGATGTCAGAAATTATTCAAGTTTTAGAACATGTGTAGCAATTTACATTATCGACTACAAATTTTATTTATATATTTATAATATAGAGGAAAGCCTCCTAATATGAGATAGGCGCCTAATATGAGATAGCGGCGTTTCTGTTAAACTAATAATAAACGCTATCTATTGGTTCCACCATGAATTTATTGCTCTTGGATTGAAAACTATTTAGTAGAAAATTCATTATTAGATCATGCCTGTAGTCATTGTAAAACAAGATTTTAGAATTTGGATGTCTTGGATCAAGTTTCATTGAGATGAGCCTTTAAACCTTGTTTATTATTTAATAAATAAATATTTGGCAATAAATTCTTCTTGTAGTGATAAAGTAAGGTCGTACTAATAGAAAAATATGGGATATGTTGAATTGTTTAATTACAAAAGATAGATTTGATGATCGTAAAACCATAAGGTGTGGAAATCGTAATATGAGAGATACCCAGGGTATTTTTAATATGAAATAACCCATGCTCCTATGTTATAGTGAAAATCGTTGCTAAAGTATAAATATTATTGTACAATAATAAAAAAGACAACCGGAATGAACGTCGAGTGCCTATTTCTGCGATGCTTGATTCTAACTACCTGAAAACGAGTTTTAGGTACAATCGCATGCTCACTTTTTGCGCACACTGGCTGTGTTTGTTTGTATTTTAGAAACATTAAATAAAGTTTTTTAATTGCAATACTGATATACTTTGCGTTTTACTATCGATTTCTCAGGGCATCTCATATTAGGAGCACAATTTTTTGACTTTGCGATTTCTTCACTTTTTACATTTCTTTAATTTTCAAAGAAAATGGAATTTGAATTAAATTTTATATATATAACGTTATCTTAAAGCTTATTAAATTCCCTTCAAAATGACATATTATTTTTTAAAATTTTGCCTATAGACTTCTAGCATTTACCCAAAATGAACTCGGTATCTCATAATAGGGGCCTTTCCTCTATCTCTACAACATATTTATATATAATAAATATATATAATATATTATTTTTTATTTATATAATATCGAGTGTATGACATGGTTAATTTGAATAAGATATATTATATGTAACCTATAAAAATATTGGATGTCATTCAATCTGGCATTCTAATATTTTGTATTATATTATAGTGTTCTACAACTACACAATTATATGAAGCTGTCTATAAATGTATTGACATAAGGAAGAACGTAAAGCAGCAGATGAAATTACGTGGTAAATTGGTATATGAATGATACTGGTGTGTAAATCATACTTAATACAAATTTTTAATAACAATCTATCTGTCACAATTATAGCAACAAGTTATCAGGAACATAAGCAATTATAGACTTGCATGATTTTTGTGAGACATGCTTGGTTATCTGGGACACTGTATACAAGTACATTTGTAAAATATGAAAAATTTTATCCTATATATAAAAATATATAATATAATCAAAAAACCTGAAAACCTAAACTGGTAATATTTTTTGATACACCTTCATAGTTGATAACTGGATTCGGATTATTTGAAGCTAGATCATACATTCGTATATGCTGATATCCAGCAGCAGCTACAACATATTTGTCTGGTGTGATATCCAATGCGTTAACTTGCTGTGAATCTCGTTAAGAATACTCAAAAATTCAAAATGAAAGCTTTAAAAAGTTTCTTATTAATAACTAAAATACGTAAAATTTTAAAAATATTTCTCTATTAGGTGCAATAATATAAAATTATAATTGCTATTTATTTTATCTACAATGATTGTAAGACTTGTTTTAATAATATATTTACTGAATATAATTTAATAGAACAAAAATTATAGAATATATGCAAAATATCATTCCGTTTACATATAGTAAAGGATACAGAATCCGTATGTTGACAAGTACGTTGACAGACGCCTGTATGCGGTTGCCATATTTTGATAGTATGATCATAACCTCCCGTAACAAAAATCACTTGTTCATTGCTAATTGCACAATCAGCAGTCATTCTCGATTTACTTCAATTTAATTGTATCACAAATTTAAAAAATTTTAACGGATAATTATTCAGATTAATTACACCAAACAAAATATCAATAAAATTATACCACAGAGAAACCTCAGGGCAGCCATCCCGGCCTTTTTCCTGTAATGCTTCTAACCTAACTCCCCGTACACTAGCGACACCACGTCCATTTTCGAGATTCCCCCCGTCCCGCCGATAAAATCGTATCGTAGAAAGTGGACGTGGTACACCACAAATTATAAATGTGAAGAAAAAACTATTTTTCGACATTGATAAATAAATTTACATTATGACGCTACAGCTACGAATTGCAGATAAAGATAATATTATGCATATATGTGTACCTGAAGTATAATACACATAACAATTAAATTTTTAGAAATAAAATAAAAGTACCAAACTAACAATTAAGATCGCTTTGTTACCTTCGTCTAATAATTCGCTAAGGCTCACAGTGTCATCGGATCTGATTTAAAATTTTTTTTGTCTTCACCTGAGATAACACAAATTACGTTTTTTATGCAAATTTTTAGCCCGTTTTTACCAAACATAATTACTAATATGTAAATATATTCCAAAATCTCTATAATCACTAATCACTAGCAATTATAGTCTTCGAATAGACTTCAAACTTTTCAATCACATATTGTTGAATTAAGATTTAATTTAGCAAAAACGTGCTAGAGAGGCCCTCCCCCCCCCCCGCCGATTTTATTGGCGGTCCTCTTTTCTTTGTAAGTATACTCACCCATAAAGCTATAGCTTGTTTTTTTTTAAACAATCCGTTTTTTAAACAAGACCGTTTTAAACAATGACTTAAAATGCTAATACAGCTCTCTGATTATGGCTTATGACATGTTAAACCAGTCTCAAATATAAAAATACTATGAATACTGGTCTATAATTTTATCTACGTGTCACAAAAGTGGGCGTGGTACGTAATTCTCGAAAATGGATATTGATTTACGCATTATGCGTTATACTCGTATATAGATAAGAAAATTATCCAATCAAAGTCCTACATTTCCTTTCCTTCCATAAAATAAGACTCAAATTGATTTTATTTTGCTTTATGCATTATGCATTATACGAAAATCTGTGCTTTGGCCTGTAGTTCGTTTTTGTTGACACGCACGCGTATATACAGTAAATAAACAAAAACATTATCATTTGAAATTACATTTAGAATCTGATTTCATTGCTATGTATAATGATTTAGACATAATATGAAAAACTGTCTCCTATAAAACTCATTCTGTAAAAAATATTTAGTATACTTTTTATCTTTCATTTTATTTCTTCATCCATTTAAGATAATCCATACAGAATTCATAATTACAAGATAGTCTTTAAAATATATTCTGTATTTTTATGGATTTCTATAGCATTCTTAACAACATAATACTCATAAATTTAACTCTCTTCCTGCTCTCTCATTCAATCATATATATGTAAAATGAAAATATCATACGAATGAATTATGATACATTTTCATTTTTTATAAATGTTATTACAGTAGGACTTCTATACACAAGATATGGAAACGCTTACTATACGGTAGTAACACATCAAGTATTTCCACATACTATGTACAGTAGCTGTAAGACTAGACGTTCAAGGAAAAATTAAAATGAGAAAAATTATTAAGAATATGAAAAGATTTAACTGCAGATAATCTAAGTTTATAGTAGCGCAAAAAATGTCGAACAATTTTATAATTGCTTGTATTTTAGAATAATTGAAACATTATTATATCATTTTCAACCTACTGAGGGCACACACGACAAGTATGAGTGTAGCATTGTATGGAGTTTACAACAGAGAATCACTGAATCTCACAGATTAGGTAACGTGTCCACTTCACCCATTTCTGTAACTGTTTCATCGTCCATTGTGTAGCTTAACATACACTTCAAAGATACAGGCTCCTGAAAGAAATAATCAATTTTTCATATAAAAAGAAACATTAATATAAACTCTTATAAAATCAACATCTCCTCTTTAAACTGCTTTCTCATTACTTCACATTTACTACATACATATGCGTAAAGTGAAAATGTTTTTGTATAAGTTATAACTAAAATGACATTTTCACTGCACGCATGCACACATATGTATATAGAGTGTCTTTGATCTAACGCATCATCTGCTAATGACAAATTCTTGAAGTCATTTAGACACAAAAATTCTAATATCAAAATGTTAAGGCTACGATAGTTTTCAAATGGTATGTGTTTAAAGATTTTCAATCAGGTCTAATATTCCCGCACTCAAGTTCGTTACACAGTGAAGGTGTCCTTGGACATTGATGTTAAATATTATCTATTTTGCGTACTGCACACGTTTAGTACGTGTGTTGCACGTGTATTATTTTACAAAAATGTAAAATTTGCTATAAAATTATGCACCAAGATTAATGTTTTGTTTAGAGGCGTTCGAAGCCCTTTCCATGCGAAGCAATCCATCCCACTTTCCCTTTTTAGAAGCATCTAACTTTCCACGCAAAGCGAATCCCATCCCACCTCCTTCTTTTTAAGAGCCGTTTATCCCATCTCCTCCTTTTTAAGAGCCGTTTATCTCACCTCCTCCTCTACCTAGGAGTGTCTGACTTTCCACGTGAAGGAATGTCCACCCTACACTCTCTACTTGCGGCATGACAACTATGCTCATACGTATGGTACTGTACGACTACAATCTGCATAGTATGGAAATACAAAATGATACTTGCATCGATTCAATCCATTAGTTGATTTCAGTAAGAAAGGTAAACATAGCTTATCTTCAGCACATACCGTACGAAAGCTTATAGTCTATATGACATACAGGGTGTCAGAAAATTATATAATTTATGATATTTTTTCTGTTAATAACTTTTTAATGAATTACGAGCGACAGTTAAAATTTGTTCAAGGTCATTCAAGGTCATGATCTTGAACATATGTCAAGGTCAAGGTTATTTGAGGATAGTCTCTCATGCTGCATATTTACCAAAGTTATCATATATTACACATATATTAATAATATAGTATTAATAATATTAATTAATTTGAATGTTTTTCATTTTAAATAATTGAACTATTAATTTATTGTCAAAAAGAATAATTATTATGTAATTGTATTACCTTGAGAGGATTCGCAATCAGCATAATCTGTGTGATTGCGGATGGAGGGAGGAATGGATTATGCGGTGGCAGCTTTGTTCCAGAAGGTGCCTGCAGTCTACATTTGCATTTCTATGTATAATTATACAAAATCAAAGTTAAAAATATTTATTTAATTAAGTGATTTAAAATTTCTCTAAAAATATTCATAAATCCTTAAATATTAAGATTTTTGGGATTCTGTCATCTTCTTGTTAAATTTCTTTACGCATTAAACTTAAATTCAAAACAACCCTTGTTCGCATAATGCCTTTAAATTGCCTTAAACGAAATTACTATTTTGACATGATGACAACTGAAGGGAAACTTGTGCTAAGGACCTATTTTCTTTCTTATTATGCAGAAGAAAGTGTTAAGTTATATATCGAAAATTCATGTACTTTATATTTTAGAAATTTAGAAAATTTTTAATCTTGAATACTTACTTTAGACACAACCGCTTGAAATAAATAATTACTAAGTGGCTTTGCGTTTTTACTCATTGTAGTAATTACTATTACAGATACATCTGATCTAGGGCTATCCTGAGCAAAATGAAGCACCACACTTACGCCATTTCTTTCCTCAATTACTGTTAGAGGTGGATTTGTCCCTGTGAAGTAATTAGCATTATTTTTTAAATTAACATATGTTGTATTAACGCACGTATGTACGCACGCATGCACGCGTGCACGCGTGTATATATATATGCACGGTGATTCACCTAAAACAAAACACATAAATATGTTGAAAATTAAACTCGGTAGGCAAAAATGTTTCAGATAAAAATTATATGGCCCGATGGGATATAAATAATGATAAAATCAATTTTCAAAAATCTATTTTTTTAAGGCTGTATGAAGATTACATTTTTTTGAATAGAATAATGATTATTTTACATAATATTCCTCTAAATTATTTTACATATAAAAGTATTAAAGTAGAGATATAAAAAATCAATACTTTCAGAGTTGTATGTTTTGTATACTATATTCTGACACATATTGGCATGAAAAATAAAATATTTCGTAAATTATTAATTTTTTAATTATCGTATCTGATACTTATGTATAATCAGATAAATCAATTAATGTAAAGAAAAAATTAAAATTTAAAAAAGTCAAGGGGACTTCTATACGATTTTGAAAAATCGATTTTTAGAAAATTAATTTTATATTATTTAGCCTCCTTCAAATCGTGCAACACTTTTATCTGAAACATTTTTGCCTACCGGGTTTAGTTTTCGATGTATTCCAATATTTTATAGGTAAATCACCTTCTAAGAAATGTAGAAAAAAAATTAAAAACATGAACAAAGTAAAACAATGTCATGATAGATAAATTTATCTAATAACCTGGTTTAATATCTTCAAGGCAGACAGTGATATCAGTCAATGGTTTGATTTCAGGCTCAATATTTGCTATCCTTGACATACCGTTCTGCAATTGCGTCATTTCCTGCGACTGTATTTTTGCATCCATTATTTCTGAATTACTATTTTTCTTGCACAAATCAACATTAATTTTTGACGAATTTGAAGATGCAAAAATGTCTAAATTACTATTTCTTTCACATTTCCTCGTATTTGGTTGCTCTGTTGCAATATGTTGCGACATATTATTAGAATTATGGGACGAATTTTTTCTACTGGGATCATAGATGTTTTGAATTTTTGTCACGTTATTATTTGTTTTGCTGCAAAAAATAAAATATTTTTTTAATTGAAAGTTTTGAAAATTTTTTTATTATAAAATTGAATTTAAAGTGGGATAAATAAAAAGTGTTAAATCACGTGTCTGTAAAATTTATTTTAATAACGATTTATTTTAATAAAAAAATGTTTTAAACAAAAATTCTTTTATTTTGAAAGAGAGATACATAATAACAATTACGAGATTGACTTTGTCAAGATTAATGCACTTCGTAAATTTTTTTATTATATATTCTTCTAGATGATATTAAAATATTTTTAAATTGATATAATTAAACTTTTTTTCATGAAGAACCTCTCAAGTTGTTAGCCACAGAAATTATGACATCGTTGATAATATTCAAAATACTACACGTCTGAATCTACGGATTCTCTTCCACCGAGACTGTATGATGTCGACATTTTATTAATTTTCAAAAAATAATGATTGTTCCGGTAGCACTTTCTATTGTTCTATTGTTCTTTCAAAAATAATAAAATGTTCTGCATTTTTAATATCAAAAAATCAAAAATAAAGAAATGTCGTGCTAACTTCACAGACACGACTGCATGGTCTGCCAAAATTACGTAAACTCAATATCCCTCAGAACAATTGTCAGTGTTATAAAATCCCCGACATATGACTTCTCATGTTTCCTCGGCAGACAAATACTGACTGAGAGAGTAATTAAAAATTATTCTCGGCACTGCAAAATCGAATTTGGTTTATCTTATTTATAATCGGTATATAAGTTTTATGAAAGCCCTTTATGTCCGTTTAGAGATTGAGACTATTTTTTTTGTTTTCTTATTTTCAGCATCTCCGAAATTTGAGATTTAAAATTCAACCTTCATCCAATATTCTTAAATATGCTTACCCTTGTGACAAGCGTGTAGTTGACACTGTACCCGATAAACTTTGTTTAAGTAAAGTTTCGCCCAATTCGTTCAATTCTTCCAATGCTTTTGCTTTACTGTCTATTTTTTCTTCGTCAGTGTTGGTAATTTCGCCTACGGATTATCATCATTTAGAAGAATAATACAATATAATAAATAAATATAAATATTTAAAAAATACAAAAAAAGTATTAACTGCTTTATCATTTTGTAAGTCTTCAATTGTTTGCATTAAATTTTTTCAATTGCAATTAAACATTTTTTTGCTTACTTTTCTTATTCATGGGCGAGATACTAATTGGTTGCATTATAGCGTTTGGCATTAAAAAATTTGTTTCAGACTTCATTGGTTTTTCTAGTACATTAAAGATATCTCCGAGCACATCCATATCTGAGCGATGATCCGTCGACGATGTGCTCTGCATCATGCTTAAATTGTTCTTACAGGAAATCATATCAGTGGGAGACGATAAATCCAGAAGAGATGGTTCATTGTAAGTTGGCTTAGAAGCCTCTGTCGTAGATTTGGGGAATTGCCCCAGAACGATAATAGACGTATACTTCTCAAAAACTTGATTCAATTCATCACTCGCAGCTAGTACATTACCTGATGTCACAGAATGCACAGAAAATTAATTAAAAAGATTAATGATTTGTTGATTATATAAACTAGGATAACGAAAAAGATTGATGCAGATAAATAAGTAATAGGTATTGATGTCCAATAATCTAATTTTAAGGCGTCTCCAAACGATATGGCCAACATATGCCAACATTAGCAAATATCATACACATACCATACATGACATACACAATTATCCATATCGAATGTAGTCAATATTTAGTAAGTCAATGTGTGCAAAGTTGATGTATACATTGGCCATATCGTCTGCAGGCACCTTTATGATATGTCATTTTTATAAAATTCGATATCTAAATTGAAATACTTCACATATTTTTGACTCGTTATATTATATCAAATATACAGATTTTCAGTTTTGAATTATATATAATTGCGGCTTGAATTTTTTAAACTAAATTATATTATAAATGTAAATAAAATTTTCTAGACTAGTTATAAAATAATGAATAAATCGTTTAGTTATGACAAGATATGACAAGCTACCAAGCATTTCGACATTGCCCTGAGTTTCGCTGGCGAGTCTCAACAAAATAGGTTTCAATCGCTCGCATGCTTGATACAACTCTTTCATTAATTCAAGATCCTCTGTACTAGTTTCATTCTGATTATACGAATCTAGCATTTCTGACAGTAGCATTACATTGTTTTGCACAGATTCTAATTCCATGCCTCTTCGCGAGTTTAACTGCAGTCGTTCTTCATCCTACAAAAAGAGATATCTGTAATGAAAATCTTTAAAAATATAAATGTTAAATTCAAAAATTAAAGCATATCAAAATAAAAAAACATGAAAAAAAAGAAATACAATTGATGCTCCTTATTTCCGAATTCATGATTCATAGTTAATATAACTGTGACAGCATTTCTTTATTCGCGATAAATATTGCAATTTTTGCGGATACAACTTATCGTACATGTATGCAATTGTATCATTGATCTTGATTTGATCTAAAATCCAACGAATCATTGTTTCAAAATGGAAATTTTTTCATTAATTACAATAAATTCCCTTTCACAATTAAAGTACAGATAGTAACGCAATGTTAAATAATTTCATATAAAATGAAAAAATATTTGAAAATTATAGTTCAGTTATTGACTCCTGGATAGTGATCACATAACTTTTTCCCTAAGATTAGTTGGATTTGATTCTGCTCACTTTATTCCGTTAACTTATAAAATGTAGAGTATAATTTTCACTACAAAATTTAATTTATCTTTTAGTGATATAAAAATCATAATTTTAACAAAAATAAGTCGAAGGACATTCATTATGTGTGCAAACGATAATGACATGATGCATTGATGTTTTTATTACTACTATAAATTATGTATTACTTATAAAAAAAACAGTTAATAACTAAAATTAGTTAAAATTATATATGAAATACACACATTTTCATATACATTGCATATTTTATTTTATTTTAAATAAAAATAATATTTCTCTCTCTTTGATTTTTGTTTAATTTTTTTTAAACGCGTCTCATTTACTATCATATATTTAACCATTCCATATTCACGGATTATCGGATACGTAACATCTGCGAGTAAAGAGCATCAATTGTATTTGAATTTTAATTTCTTTAAAGATTTTATATCAAATATCTCTCTAAAATGTAGATACCTCTTTCACCATAAATTTAATCAATCGGTTTGCAGATTGCAAATCAGAAGGATCCTTACTATGAAGTAATCTACGCAAATGCTTTGACATTTCTTCATTTTCGAATATATTATTTTTTATCTTAGACGATTTTTTACTTTCTTCATTGTTTGTCATTATAAATGCAGCATCTTCCTGTAATTTGTTTTTATCCCGTATATTGCAAATTCTTTAATAATTAACTAATTAATAATTCAATCTGAATAATATTTACAATACTATTTAAACAAATGTTACAATAAGATAAAAGAATATAATTAAAAAAATAATATTTAAATATATATAAAGTAGTAATAAAATTAAGATGAAATCCTACATAATAATAACAATAATTACAATAAAAGTATAGTTAAAAAGTTTGACAATTAAGTTTACAGATAAAATGTGATTAAGTATAATTTATAACTCAAAGAGAAATCTGAGAGGATATGAGGGCCTTTTTCCTGTAACCGCAAAATGCCTCGCGCACTACTGCCCTCTGAAGAAATGGATGTAAACTACACAACAATATCCATTTTTTGCGGTGCTCCTGATGGAAATAAGTCACTGAAATTGTTGAAATCTCTATTAATTTAATAGATTTTAGTTATTTCAACGATTTTAGCAATTAATTCACTTCTCACACACACACACATGATAGGGCAAACTAAATTAAGTTTTAAAAATTATTATTAATATCTCGTTAACTATTGCAAAAATTGCAAAATAGTAGAGCACTTTTCAACTCAGTTTCGTTCGCTCTGTTTACTTATGATATCTTATAATATGATATGATGATTGTTAAAGACATTTAATATTTCGAAAATAATTTGAATTTTATTGTAAATAAAAATCTTGAAATATCAACTAAAAATTCAGAGGATTTAAATTGATATAAATCGAGGTAATATATGTGTAAGTGAAATGCATGTATATTTGATCTTCTGCTTACTATGTAATTATTTCCGATGATGTAAATAAAAAAAATGTTTACTTTTTATTTACAATTCAAAAAAGAAGTGTTTCTGGATCTATACATACAACTTTTTTATTTTTATCAATTAGAATAATTCCTACGACTCTGTATATAAAGGGATAAACTAAATTCCGGGATATTTTTTATAGATGATTGTTCTATTGAACTATGTAATACTGTGAAATAAATGATTAACTGAATACTTTGCTGTATTTTTAATATTGCCATGTTAGAAAAACAGGAAAATATCTGTAAATATAATTGTCAGACTATATATAAATGTAACATTTGACAAAGATAACCTCGATGACTCCTTGCTTCTTCAACATTTCATAAGCCTCCTTAATTTTTGATTCGCGAGGATATTCTTTGATCCATGCATAAAGAAGTTGCAGAACCTTTTGCCGTACACTCGCTGTAGTGCGATTACCTAAATATTTTGGCGAAACCAATTTTATCATCTCATTAAGGAAACGAAATTTACCAACTTCCGCATGAAATAATGGGCCACATCTCTTCATACAAGTATCTAATAACTGGAAAAATAAAAATCTACATATACAAGTCGTATATTTAAAATTTTATAAATTTTAAGTTCTCAAAATCTTGTTAAGATCTTATTGTTGAGATTTAATTAAGATTAAAGTATTTGTTATCTTTGTTATCTTATTTATATTGTTTTAAAAGAACCTCGGGTTTTTTGGGTCACGAGCGAACATATTTGATTTCTATGTGTGTATTTGTAGAGAAAGAGAATTGACAAAAATAATAACATACCCATGTGAGGATTTTTTAAAATTTCCAGTGTTGATCCAATGTAGAAGCAGTAGCGTAGTAAAGGAAGAGAGGGCGGAGAGAGCGGGGCCCACCCCAGACGCCCTTGCTAAGACCCCCATCTTAACAAGAGTGTCGATTCGATAGTATATACATATAATTCCTTGGGTGCATTTTACTTAATGTTCGCACGCTCACGCATCATCTCATCCTTGTTTAATATTTGATAACAAAAAGGATGAAATGATATTCGCAACATTAAATGGAACGCACCTCTCATTATAAGCAGAAAGGGGCAAAAGACTTCGGGCAAAACACAAAAGAAGAGTAACTAAATCGGTGAAATTGTTACCTTTTACAGCGAATTTTCTTTTGTTACAACAGGTATAAGTTTCTATTTCAGGCATTGTCTTCCCTTACTACGCCACTGTGTTGGAAGTTGAAAGAATGACCGAAAAAAGGATGAATTTTTCACCCGTTTTTCGGCCCTCGATTTTGGAATTGAATTTTATGCCAAATGATAGCTCATGATGAGACATTAATCACAAACAAAGTTTTACCTTGAATATATGATTGGTTTTAAACAGGTTGTTAAAACAAGAAAATTAATGGAATGCTATGCAAGTTCAAGCTATGCAAGCATTTAATCCCAGAATCTTCGCAAATAAAGCTGACTTGGTTCTTCTCCACATTCACTATTGCTGTGCAACCTTTACAGACATGATCGCTGAATTTGAGCCCAAACACAATAGAACTATAAATTCATGTATCAGATTCATTTATAGTGTGAGAAGAGATGAATACATAATTACGTCTTACTATAGACGTGCTCGTTAGTTAAAAGTCAATGTTAGAAAGCAATGCTTTGTCTGTTGTCTTTTGTATAATATCCTACGGACGGGACTACCTAGATCTCGTATTTTCATATTTTTCATTTTGTTCTCAATACATCGAGCAGAATATCTCTAGATTTGTTGATTATGTCACAGTATCGTACTGAGTTTTTAAGGTTTTTTTTATTTTTATTTTCGTTTTGTTATGGATCTCTCGTTTAATGTACGTTCCTTATACTCTGTTGCAATATTTAAATAGCGACTCTATGTGCATTTACTTAAACAAACATAACTGTTTTTTTTTTATCTAAAGTAATTATTGTTTACTGCTGTTTGCATAATAATTTGAGGTATGTCATAAAGATCCATGTGTAATAATATGCACACAAATACTCTGACTTGCCTTGTATGGGCTTTAATTAATTATTATTAGTCTATAAAATAAAAAGTTTAAAAATAAAATTATTATTATTGTACATTGACTGTTATATGTTTTATTGTTAAGACAAAGAAAACAATTCTTTGTCTTAATAATAAAAGAAAGTTCTTTGTTTTAAATAAAACATAATTAATACACAATAAAAATTTCCTTTTCGAAAAATTATGTTTTCAAAGCGAATCGAAATAATTTCGAACACGATTTAACATCGATGTCTTAACAAAAACTGTATAATTTGCTTGTTTAAGAGTCTAGCGATAAATATATTCGTCTTCTATTAAGGAATGTTTATAAAGTATAAATATCAAAGTAAGCTTCAAGTAATATTTCGATTCGATGGAATTTCGTAGACTTTGACGTTAATTCGATGAGTCATTTCTCATTCGTTCGTGGCCCATTTTGCCCGAGATTCTTTCATTCTTTCATTAGTTTTATAAAATTTTTAAGAAACATTTTATATGTATACTTATATAAAATATTTGTTAAAATGCTTTAACATTTATATATTTTATATATTTTATTCTAATATTTTTAATAATAATAACCGCACGATTTATCTAAATTTATTATTAATAAATTTATAGAGCCCATTTATCAACTATAAATATGTTAACTATCCAAATAGATTTAAATGTTTTTTTTTATTTTAACACTATATTAAAGCATCAAATTCATAAAATATTTAAAAACAACATACCGAAAGCGCTTGCAGTGCTTCTGATTCATTAAGTGATTGAATTTGTATTGCTAATAACTTGATACCTATTTGTATACCCTCTGCTTCTTTGGTAAGCATCACACAAAATGCTTCAATCGCTGCTACGTCTGGCTTCTGATTTTGTGGATTTGTAACTCTCTCTATATAGTATTTTATATACATATATATACTAATGTATCAATAAACATAAATACACACACGCGTGCGCACATAGTTCTATCATCAATGACTATATTTTTTATTTCCAAAATAATAAAGATACATGTCATATTACATAATTTAACGTAAATTCTATTATAAACATAGAAATCATTCATAAAAATTATTTAGTAGAAGAAAAAGAAGTTTTTATCATAACGTAATATTTAACATTACGTTATGAATTTCTGTATGCGTTGATGTAAGTTTACGTACATGCTTCCGTTTACGATCTGGAAGCCTATTATACGGTTCCTGAAACAAGATAAAAATTACAAAACTGATGAAATTCACTAGATATTGACCAATTAAGTTATTAATATTTTAATAAGTTAGTTCACTTTTTTGTAATTTTTACCTCGTTTCCAGAGCCTTAGTAGGCTCCTATTATTTAATGTAACGTAACACATTAAGGTCCATCAGACTTGCATAATCGTATGAACGTATGCATAAAGAAAATTGTCCAATCGCATTTTACGTCCTTAGAAATGTAATTGGATAGTTTTCTCCACAAATCTTTACATTAGAAAACACCTCACTAATAACGCTGATATTATATGTTAAAATTAATTTTAAGGGAAAGTTGATCTTCAGTATGCCCTCACCTCTATAACACATATGTCAAGGTCAAGATGAACGGTGAGGTGTTTCCTAATGTAAAGAATTCCTTTATGCATACAGTCATGCAACTGTATAAGTTTGTCTGAATAGGTCCATAGGATGTTCTTGTGTTCAGACCTTTGTTCTTTTTCTTCAATTTTTTACCGAAATAAAAACTGATAAACTTCAAAAGAAACAAGAAACAAGACTGTCGATAAAACAGTCATAGGTTCAGTTTATTTTTATATTAAATATTCTATCTTATTCAATGAATAAAATATCAATCAGGTTAAGCCTAAGCACAAATTATTCTGATAATGAAAAACCGGGCTTATGACCATCTTATCGATAATTGTGTTCTTTATTTATGATGATGTCATGGTAGAAGTCCATTAAGTAAAACAACATCATTAAGTTTACTAGATAATGAGAAACCGAGCCATAAGGAGAGAAAAAGACAAGAAATAAAAAACAAGAAATAGAACACAGAATGCATTGTTAGATTAATCTTATCAGTTAGGAAGCCATATCAAACGATGAAAAATAGAAAGATACCTAGCAAATGTTAGCAATTTGCCTATAAATTACTGGCAAATTCGATCAAAATTTCAACAATTAAATTTACATTAAGCTTGTATTAATGTAAGAACAAATTGCTGACAAAAATCAAACAAGGGTCAATTCTTATCATCAATTTTATGAGGTTCTCAAGCTTTACATGATTGTTGTTGACAATAAATATTAACTATATTTCTCTGTTCTTCAGTAAACAAGACTGGACTAAAATAGATTGAAATTTTAATCCATTTGAATTCATCCAATTGCGTACTTCAGCAGCATTTGTGATCTATTTCTACTTTTTGGGGTTCAATTGGATAGAAAAACTTTTTTAAAAATTTAATAGGATTGAGAAACTGTATTTTCTATTCATAATTTTGAATTGAGCAGTATTCACGATATACTTACAAAACTAAAATTTTTTTAGATTGAAAGGCATAAAAATGTGCTTCATGCAGTTCTAATATACATATAAACAAAAATGTATTGGGATTGTAAAGGATTTCAACGTTTGTGAATGCATACTTCTGAAAATCTGAATCCATTCCAATCCATTTCATTCCATTCTCTTTCAATCTATTTACTGAGGCTTTAATATACATAACTTTTATGAATGATCACTATATTTGTGAGGCTAATATTCAGTTTGAATTGTTTATGTTGATTTGGTCTTGTATTTCTTATAGCCTACTTCTTTAGGAAATGAATATAGATGATCTCTACATATATAAAATAGAGAAGTAGATATATATGTATACAGATAATGTATGTAATAGAAAAGTCATAGTAAAATGAGCTTAATTAATATTAAAAATTTGACATATTTAAATAGAAAGCAAAACATTGTAAATCAGTTGTGTAGTTCTTATTATACTCACGTATTAGAGCTTCTAAGCTAGTAGTCACCACATCCATGCTTAAAATCGTAATTGTTTAATGCTATATATAATTTTCAGATTTACAGGAGACTAAAAGAGCTTACAGCATTTTTTATATCAGAAATATTTCAGTAAATACATTTCAATTATCACTCAGGACAAACGTCACAATCGTAAATTGTTATATTATGTCTGAAAATCAAATGTCAATTCTAATTTTCTATTACTGGTTTTCAATTAATATAAAACCAATCTAGTTGCTTTATCGTGTCTAATTTATTTGCTTGTTCCATAGGTTTTTTAAATACAGAACAGCTCTTTCTATTACGGAAAACATCTCACTTTGTTATGCGTCGATTCACAATACTCTAAACAGGTACACTTTACAGAGATATGACAGTCATGACAGACAGAAAATATAGAGAAAGGAAACCTCCGCCATATGCCTACTGCATGCTGGATAACACAATTCGATGGGTGATAAGTGACAAACGATATCCAATGAGAAAGCTCTGCTTTTTTGCACGTGACGATGCGTAGCAGAGTTCTCATTGGATGCTTTTCAATTGCCTGACACAAGCATAGTAAATTAATTCACGCATTTTCAGTGTTAATATGTAATTTAACCCTTTTAATTACATATTCTTTGTTGTCACGATAACCTCATAACCTTGAAATAATTAAATTATTTATTAGCACTGAAAATATGAAAATCGATTTGCATTCAATTGCACTAATTGCTGTAATCGTCGACACAATGCTTTATGGGCCTTCTACAATAAGCCGCAAGTCAGAACGTCAGAAGTCTTAACAAGTCTTAACCAGTCTTAACCAAATCGTTCAAGCTGGCTATTGGCCAACTTCACCGATTATGACTTAAGATCACTTAGAACTTCTGACTTGCGGCTTATTGTAGAAGGCCCATTATGATTACTGTTATGAAAAGATGTATGCCATGGCCTTTAATTCGGATCCACAATAGGTGATTTAAACCTTAAGCCGTAAGAAATTGACCAATTACAGTCGAGTGCGAGGAGAATACCGACTGTGATTCGTCCATTTCTTATGGTTTAAGGCTTAAAAATTTATTGTAGATCCGGACTAAGGGTCTCTAGTCTCTAGCATACACACATATATTGCTAGTGTAGATTGTGTAGAAGCATATAAGAGTCTGTGGTGTTTCTGCATCTGCTGCATCCTGTGGCATCCTGTGTGCAGCCCAGTGTAGCCGTAATTGTCTGTGATTGTCTGTATTGTGAAATTGAATAATTGTGTATATTCTTCTCAGTGCATTTTACACAGTCAAGATCCGTACAACTTCGATCACTTTTCATCTTATCTTTACCCTCTACTTTCCTCATGTATACGAAATCTTCGATGACTGCAAGTAATCACAATTGATGATTTTTTCGACCGAAGTAGTTTCGTTCACTTCACGACGATCGGTGAGAGTGCATTCTATTTGCTACTCACAACGCTCACACATTCTTGTTTAACATTTAACAAACAAGGATGAAATGCTTCCATAAACGTTGCGAGTGTCAAGTAAAACGTACCTTAAGTGAATGTATGTAACGCATGTACTATGTATATACCATATCTAGTACATATATACAAAAATCGTTTCTCAGTTATAACTGTTACGCTTTTAGGTTAGGACGCAACGATTAGAGAATGTGTATTGTACTAGAAAAACGTCAAGTGAAAGTGCTGGTTGCCAAAAATTCCAATAGAGCAGAGGCTGACAACGCTATTATCGTGTGCCCTAAAATAGACGATATTTTAGGAAATGTTCCGTAAGAAACTTCAGCGTGGGTATTATTAGTGGTTTTTTCATGGATAATTTACTCGCATCAACGTTTCCCGAACAAAAACAATGTTTGAAGTGGTATTCGCAGGTTGGTGTCATTTAAAATTTTTGAATTACCGTAAAGGATTCAATAAAGGGCAGATTATCTGAAGAGATTCATTTTTGCCTAAAGATTCATGTCTTATTGATTATATTTTGCACAAATCATAGAAGAAAAAAATCAAAGAAAGAATTTAGAATTGCATCTAAAGTCGTCGAGTGCAGACTTAAAATTTTTGAAATTAATACAAAAGGGCAAATAAGCATTGCAAAGATGTCAGTTGCTAAAATAAAATGATATGTAAAATCTAATATACATAAATATAATTTTGTTAAGTATCACATTAAGGATGACCAACATTTGAAGGTTGAAACGTATATCTTATTATATTTATGTATATTAGTTTTCACATATTTTGTTTTAGCATCTGACACCTTTGCGATGCATATTTATCCTTTTGTACTAATTTGAATTTTTTTTCTTTGAGCATAGGATATTTTAAATCTGATTTTTTTAATTTTTGAAAGTTTCTGCTAAAACTGCTGGGAATAGAAGAATTATGGATAATTTATTGTTTGTCGTAATCTGTTGACCAACTTATGCTGTTATTCTTATCAGTATTTTTTATAACAACAATGTGATAATCGCAATTTTTTAATGATAACTAACTAAACGCTGAGTTGCGCTAAGATTAGAAAAATCCCCTTCAAAAGTAACTTGCCACCATTATTTATTGAAAAAAGGAACAAATTACTTTTTCTGTTACAAGTAACGAATAAAAATAACTATAATTGTAAATAAAAAAGATCTGTTCGCGTTGCTTGTACTTTTTGCACTCAGCATCTTTACTTTCTTTTGTCCTACATATATATATATATATATATATATATTTCCGTATATACATCCATATATATATTTACAATTTTTGTCTGGAACTATATATATATATTTATTTATTTAAAAATGCACTTTTTTAAAAACGTTCCAGACAAAAATTGTAGGATTTTGAATGGTGGATTAGACAGCAATATTGTAACCTTGGATATCGTTGTTAAGGTCACGTAAAAATCACCTCGAAATTTATAAATAAAAATCCTATTTTTTTACAGCATATTCTTGTAGCTGACCTCGACAGCTTTTCAAAGCACTAAATTAAAAGTATTTTCATTATTCAATTTCTGAGTTATATTGCTTAAAAGTTACAATATTTCTGACATTAGCATTGTCTAAAGTGTTTGATTGACGACCAAAACCTTTAAATGTTATTCAGGATCATGATATTATATGTCGAAGTCAAGGTCATTGGAGCCATTCCTTTTATTTTCATTTTTATGTTGAAATTGTAATTAATATTGTAACTTTCAAGCGGCGTAATTCGAAAAATACTTTTATTATAGTGCTACGAAAAGCTCTCAAGATCAGCTATAAAAATATACAATAAAAAATAACTGTTTACATTAAAAAATTTTTAAGTGATGATTTTGTGACCTTGTATCATGATGGGTCCCTCAGAGATCCACTTTTTTCTCAGTTTTTAATTATTTTTATAAATTCTTTGACGTTAAGTACTGGTTTTTTTTTTGTAGAGTCTCTAAAATATGAATAATATATTTACGAACCAATATGATAGATTAAAAACGAAAACAATAGTCTTATTTTAAAATTTTGTTTCTGGGTTGTTGCACCTAAATCATTATTAAAAACTGTTACTTTTAAAATAATTTATTTTTATAAATAACGAAATACTAAATATTTTATTAAAAATTATTTGAATTATTGATTCGCTACGTTGGCTCGGCCATTTTGAATTAACAAATTCTGAACTTCTCTAATTCATAAGCGACTTGAAAAATTTCAGGATGTAAAGTTTCAAAAACATCAGTTGGATAAAAGAATTCGGAATGCAAAGGGTTCATAATGCTATTCAAAGTCACACTAACATTGTTATCTAATGCCGTCCGCCACTTAAAACTATTACTTTTATCTGAAACGTTTTTTAAGAAAATTTTTTCGAAAAACGATACGGTCACTCTGTTTGTACCCTCTGTATTGATCGTTACGATTCATACCAAACCTGTATTTCCCATTTAATTTAATTTTCAAATCAAGTTAAATTCCTAATTTTCAAAATCTATAAATTTAAATGATTATAATGGATAGATTGTAAAATTTAAAATATATGACTAATAGAATCTATCGATCAAATGTACGATGATATCGGTGTAAATTCAATTATAATATCTTTTTTTTAGGATTTCACATATGTTGAGAAAACATCTACGTATTTCTAAGTCTGATTAAATATCTCCAATCATCATGGCAGATGAGGAAGGTACAGAGTGGCTTCAAGAATTGCTGCATGATGTGCAGCTCTCACAATTCTTTACGCGAATTCGAGATGATCTGCAGATTACTCGTTTGCATCATTTTGATTATGTCCAAGCAGAAGATTTGGAGAAAATTGGTCTGGGTAAACCTGGTGTCAGACGTCTGTTGGATGCTATAAAGAAAAGACGAAATGCCCAATGGAAAAAGAGTTTAATTACTAAAATTAAACCTGGTAGTAGCGGTAAAAGCAACAAACGAGTTTCACAGTCCGTCGAAACTTCCTCGGTGTTGACATGTCTTATACAGGACAAAGATGTGACATTATCCGTTAAATTAGGCGATGGAAGCTTTGGTGTAGTGAGAAGAGGAGAATGGACCTCCCCCTCGGGACGAACTTTGCCTGTCGCTGTAAAAGTTCTCAAAGCAGATGCTTTGACACAACCGAATGTTATAGAAGACTTCATTTCGGAAGTTCAGGCGATGCACACTTTGGATCATCATAATCTTATTAGATTGTATGGTGTGGTGTTATCGCAACCAATGATGATGGTGACCGAGCTCGCACCTTTAGGCGCGTTACTCGACTATTTACGGCAGCAATGCAGTAGAATCTCGATTCTTACACTCTGTAATTATGCGCTGCAAGTTGCCACTGGTATGGCATATTTAGAAGCGAAGCGTTTTTTACATCGCGATTTGGCATGCAGAAATGTTTTATTGAGTACCATCGATAAAATCAAAATCGGCGACTTCGGTTTGATGAGAGCACTTCCTCAACAAGAAGATTGTTATGTTATGACAGAACATAAAAAAGTACCTTTTCCCTGGTGCGCTCCTGAGTCTCTCAAGGCTCGGCATT